GAAAGGAAAAATTGAAATCGCATCATATGACCCCTTTAATGATGACAGAAGCTCATTCATCATTTCATTCATCATTTATGGCATCTTAAGCTATCAGTATCGGTAAAATCAACAAATTAACTAATTCCATAGATGCAATAGATGCTCATATCAGCGCTGCCGTACCTTCACATGAGTAACATAGTTTGCTGATGTCCAGATGTGTGGTCTGGTTGCTGATGGGATTGTTGAGCACACAGCTGTAGCTGTTTTTATCCTGATATTCCACCTCCAGAGGTAGAGAGAGACTGATGCTGAGATCAGACACACTGATGCTGGACAATAAACTGTTTCCTTTGTACCAGGAGAGAGTCACATGACCCACATTCACCACTGAACACAACAATGAACAATATGATGATGATGATGATGATGATGATGAAGAAGAACATTGTGAAGAGTTACTGCTGATGACAGGAACAGACAGATGAGCAGAAAACATGAGATAAACAAAACTAGATCATAATGTGTTTATTGCCGTGTCAGTCAGTCTTATATGACAGTGATCTTCTCTCCGCAATTATAAAAGATGATTACACATATGGACAAATATCGAAGAAGAAAATGCTTAATTGAAATGATTTGGTCATGTTATTAATCAATAATCAAAATAATTGAAATATTAAGATATTATTAATTTATAGATAAATAAAACAGGTGAAACAAACATTTAATTCACCATAGACAGTAAGACTGAAGCTTTTGCTCAGACTGTTGGACTGTAGTTTATATAGTTCAGTGTGTTCAGTTGTGATGTTTGTGATGGTCAGAGATACAGTTTGATGATCCAGCTTCAGTCTGTTTCTGAATCTCCCATCAAGAACATCATCATATACAGTCATGCTGCCGGCTATTAAATTGATCTTAACTATCACAGTGTTTTCAGCTCCAAACCTCCACAGAATCAGATCCTCATCCATTATTTCAGTAAAACCAGAGTCTAGAGTGACTGAATCTCCCTCCAGCACTGACACTGACTCCACTGCATCTGTATCAGCAAACACACCTGATGAACACAGTCACAGATTTGCTGATTTACTTTTATAGACTATTCCGCACAGAACGAAACTGAACTGCAGCCCAGTTCAATCTTTAGAGCCCTTAATTTCTGTTAACGTGTGCCAAAAACATTATGCGTGTAAAACAGGCACAGACATCAGTAACTGCGCAACAAATTGTAGAATATAACAGCGTCTGTCATCAGTTCCTCTTCAGATAAATCAATAATCATTTCATGCCATTATTTACAAGGTGGTGAAGCCATGAATTATTTGATATAAAACAGATTCGCTGTTATTGCACCTGCCTTATTTTTCTCTTCTGGATTAAATTAGATCTCACAAATATTTGGTTTAAGCATATTTTATCTTGGAAATCATCTGGCTGTTTAAAAAAGTGCTTTATGGCTCTGTATTAAATCTCTGTAAATACAACCTATCAGATTAAAACTAAAGCAAGAAGTTAAAATAAATATGATTATAACTTACCAACCAAGCGCCACAAACAGAACAAAACAAACATGTGAACCATTTTCATATTACAGCACTTGAAGTATCTGAACACGTAGCCTATATGAGAGATTGTGAACTCACAGGACAGTGTTAAACTGCAATATAGCTGGTGTTGCGTGTGATTCATCCACCAATAATATCTGAGCACCACCCACTCACTACACATGTACACGCTCGTCTTGCATGCATTGGTTATAGATAATCTGTTCTATATTATTTTTGCAACAATTAATTCCAAATATGTTATTGTTTATTTAATATTTTGCTCTTGAAAGTGTAAAATGGTTTTAGGAGGTTAAGATGTTTTCTTATGATGCCACCAGCAGATCACACTCACACAAACCACATGTTTGAATACAGTAATGCAGAAGCTGTTTTTTTTCTTCTTTTCACCCAACAGATCAAACCACAGCTCTGTATACTACGGTGGCCGTAAAGTGCAAAGCAAATCACAATTCTGAAAACAAAATAACAAATTACAAACGCAAATGCAAGTCTAAAAAACAAAATAACAATTCAGAAAGCACAACAACAATTCAGAAAACATTATAACAAGTCAGAAAACACAATGACAAATTCGAAAACAAAATAACATGTCAGAAAACACAACGACAAATCCGAAAACAAAATAACAAGTCAGAAAACACAACGACAAATCAGACAAACCGGAAGAGGTAGGTATAGTTTGAGACAGCGCCATTGGTTTGGGATTACTCACCGCTGACTGGACGAGACATCTGTCAATCAACGTATACAGGGAAGAACCAGCCGAAAAACAGCAGAGTCGTGGTAGAAAGTTCGGAGATGGTATTAAAGTAGCTCAGTTTAAATGTATTGTATTAATTGCCCTTACTATGGAATAAAAAATATGGGATGTCTATTTATATTTAGTTAAAAGTGGCTGTACAACATCAGCTCCAGTGGTGCAGATGG